AATGTGTACAGACAGTCTGCTTCCATGGTTATTCTATCGCTGTGTTGCAGTGAAATACACTCCCTTGTACTCAAGAATTCCCCTTCAAGAATGTGCAAACTGCATTCGCAGACTGTGCTTCCAAATAATGGCCATTTTATTTTTTGTATATTTACTCTTTTCACTAAGTGCCCAATCTAGAATTCAGAAATGCAGGTGAAATTCATTATATCATACACGTTGCACTTAATATTAAGAGGTTACTTGTAAATATTTTATAAATAGGCAATAAATTATTAATACTTGCTATAAGTGCATAAGATGGGCTGCAGCAGCAGAGCTGTTAAGAACCCTGCTTTAGTTTCAGCGGCCTCAGTTTGAGCCATGTTCTAAACTTCTGTTACAGGCCAAGCCTGATTATTTAGATTGAAATTTGATTCATGGTCATTTTATCTAGCTAATCTAAAGCTAATATAGATGTGATACCAGCCATATAAGCTGTATCTATAGGAAAGAATTATCTAAGATTTGCTTATAGCCGTAAGTTAGACGGACTAAAGAAGCTTGGACTAATCGACTAAAGGGTGGATCTTTGATTTTTGATAAATATATTACGAACAGGGCTCATTTGCATTGAATTACTCTAAGCATATCGTAGAATCACAGAATGGTTGAGGTTGGAAGGGACCTCTAGAGATCATCTATCCCAACCCTCCTGCTCAGCAGGATAATATAGGGAACGTTGAGCAGGACCCTATCCAGTCAGCTTATGAACATCTCCAAGGATGGAGGCTCCACAACCTTTGTGGGCAACATGTTCTAGTGCTCACTCACCCCCACATTAAAAAGAAAGCTTTTTGTTTGTTTCTTTTTCCAATAATCAGACGGAATTCCTTGTATTTCCAGTTTGCACCCTTTGCTTCTTGTCCTGTCGCTGGGTATCACTGGAAAGAATCTGTCTCCACCTTCTTTACATTATTCCTTCACATGTTTATATATGTTGGTAAAATCCACCTGAGCCTTCCCTTCTCCAGACTAAAGAGTCCCAGTTTTCTCTGCCTTTCCTCTTATGAAAGATGCTGCAGTCCCCTAATCATTTTAGTATGGACTTTGCTGGACTCACTCAGCTTTTTCTATCTCCTCTGCCACCTGGGGTCCCTGCCCCATTCAGCAGCTGACCCTGGTCGTTTTGTTACTGATACACTTAAAAAGGCCTTTCTTGTTGTCTTCGATGTCCCTCACCAGATTAAAATCTGGATGGGTTTTGCCTTCCCAGCCCAATCCATGCATGCTTGGATAGCATCTTTATATTGCTCCCAGTTTAGCTGTCCCTATTCCCACCTTCTTTGTACTTCCTTCTGATGTTTGAGTATTGCCAAAACGCCTTGTTCATCCTTGCAGGCCTCCTGCCACCTTTGATAGACTTCTTGCTCGTTGGGATGGACCATTTTTGGCCTAGGAGGAGGGGATGCTTGAATATCAACCGGCTTTTTTGGATACCTCTTCCTTCTTGGGCAGTATCCCATGGGAATCTTTCAAGCATGTTCCCAAAGAGGCCAAGGTATGTTCTCCTGAAGTCCACAGCTGTTACCCTTATTTTTGCTCTGTTTCCTCCTCTCAGGATTCACTGTTTCACAGCCACTACATCCAAGGTTGCCCATGACCTTCGTATCCCCAACCAGACCTTCCTTATTCATAAATATGAGATCCAACAGAGCATCTCTTATTGCTGGCTCCTGTATCACTTGTATCAGGAAGTTGTTGTGGATGCACTCCAGGAACCTTCTGGGTTCCACATACCCTGCTGTGTTCTCTCCAGCAGGTACAGGGGTGCTTAAGTCTCCCTTTTTGACCAGGACCTGTGAATGTGGGGCTACTTCTAGATGTCTATTGAAGGCCTTATCTACTTTTTCCTGATCAGGTGGCCTATAGCAAACACGCACAACAATGTCACCCATATTGGTCTGCCCTTGAATCGTTACCCATAAGCTCTCATTCATCACATCATTCACCTCTCGGCAGCGCTCCAAACTTTCCCGTTGCTTTCTCACATCAAGGATGACTTCCCTTCCTCATCACCATGGCCTGTCCTTTCTGAAAAGCCTTTTCAACATGCCGGTCATTCCACTGTGCATCTGTGATCCAGGCAAGATCATAGACCTGCAACTGCCCACACACCTCTCATTACTCTTGTGCATTCCCCCTGTTGCATGCATTAGTGTAAAAGCACTTTAGAAAGGCACCCCAGCACGCTGATTTCTCAGAAAGGATGTGACAGGTTTCCCCACAATGCTGGCTTGTAGCCACTTCCTTGGTTACATGCAAAAGCTTGCAGTGCCCCCATTTAAGCTCTGTTTTCTTAATTACATGTTCTCTTTTATTGGCATTGCCTTGCGGCATTTGCTTGTCAGCCCAGAGTAATGCTACCTCACGTGGCTGCTGCTATCGGTGAATACCATCCACCGTGGCCAAAATAGGTGTGAGGTTGTCGCAAGGGTGACAGCAGAAGCCAGAATTGCAAATTGGACAAATGCAGCTAGCATCTTCCCTCTGGCTTTACTTCCAGCATCCCCTTGGCCAAGGATGCTTTGGAGGAAGAAAAAAAAAATGGATGTCGAAAATAGACTCACAGTAGAGTTTTGCAGGCCAGCCACTTGCAAGTATTTGCCAATGTTTGCTGCAGGAAACTGTGATAATCAGAGGAAACACACAGGTCTTTGATGTGGTCTTGAATGAGAAAGTGCTTTGCACACTTACGCCCTTCCTAGGTGAGGAATACGTAGTGCTGTGATACTGTAGAGTCCAACTGCAGAACTGGCTGTGAGAGGGGAAATACCTTGAAGCTCAGAAACAACGTTGCAACCTTTCTTTCCTTGGGGAATCTCCAGCAATGTTTGACATAGAGCCACTCACAGATGAGGAAAGATACAGGAGCGCTATGCAAGACAGATGACGACTGGCAACTCTCTTCTTATCTGTGTCCAGCTGGGCTGGACACAGCAGTTCTCACTGCAGTTCTCACACTGTGGATACTCAACTTTCCAGATTCCTCTTGGGAATGAGAGAACAAACAGGAGAAGGGAAGGAGTAAGGCCTAATGAAATGCTCATTAGGCTAGGACTTTTCTTCCCTCACCACCTCCAGAGTACAGTCTATGCACCCCAGCTGGAGAAGGGCTGCTCCAAAGGTTATAGGAAACATTGAAGATATGGGATGGTTCAGAAGGGAGGTGGTGATGGGAGAGGGAGAGAGGGGGCTTCCTTCCTGCCTAGAGTGCTGTGGTCATTGGAATTGGGAATGAGGATTAATTTTTCCAACAAACAACCTATCGAGAACATCTTGTCCATCTTGGAAAGCTGGAAAAGACACAAAGCCTCTGCCCATCCCCCAGCTGCTATGGGAGGGGAGGAAGAAACCTGAGCAGGCTGCTTTTTCTAGCCCCGTGCCATCAGCTGCAACCAGCTTTGCTCACAGCCTTTGCGCTGAAGCCTCTGCTTGAGCTTGGTGTAGCTGAGAAGGCCATGCCTGTGTGGGAAGAGAGAGCCCCTGAGGTCTGGACACGCGTAGCTAATTGAACTCCTTCCTACAACTCTGGGAGCTCAGATGATGCTTTCAATTTGTTCAACCTCCTTTTCAGAATTCTTCTCCCACTCACTGGATACCAGGGCACATGGACACCTGAGGACACCCCGTGGGCACCAGAGAGCCATTTTGTAACAACTGTATTTCTTGCAGCCTTCAAGTGATTTATGCACTGAGAGGAGTATTTGGATCGGGTCACAAGGCAAAGAGAGAAAGGAGAGAAGGTAACTCTCTCTCTCTTGCTATTTCAGGATGGGCTGGAGACACCTACCCAGGGGACTGTACTAAAAAGCTGGAGCCGAGGCTCACAGCACGGTCGGCCCCCATGGTTCTTCTCTGTCAGCACCACACTGCCCTTACCTTACTGAGGAGAGGAAATGTGGCTGCATGATTGCACCCCTCTTCTCCCCCAACAAGGTCCTCTCCTCCCCACACTGGCACACAAAGCACATGCACAAATGCAATTCAAGAGTTTGCTCCTTTAATACACAATAAAAAAGCAACTCTTCCACATTCAGCGAGAAATACCGTAAGCAGGAGCCCCAGGCTTGGCACCCTCCTCCCTTGCTGCCTTCTGAAGTTAGGTAGCATGTGCAGTTTGCTTAGAAGGGTTTTCCTCTCCCTGTGCAAAGGAGCTCCTGGTTGTAGCAAGGCTGCTGGCACGAGATGACTGATGTCTTAGTCCACCTCCATGCTCACCAGCTGAACAAACTACCCCAGAAACAGAACGTTCTCACTGGTGTAACAGTGCCTACCTGGAAGGACTTTTCCTTCGGGCCGTGTGGCTGCCCCAGCAGATGTAGCTGCCCTGAAGGAATCTCTAGTACTGGCTTGATCAGAGAAACTCCCCAGCACCACAGCGTGATGTGGTGGAAGGCATCATTAGAACTGACAGGCAGAAGTGAATCACACGGGGAAAAGACAGGATGAAAGTATAAAAACACAAGAATTAAATAAACTGTGAAGAATTTGCTGAAGGCACTTCCTAACCCATAAGAGATGGCCCCTTCAGCCCATGGGCTGCAGCCACAGTAACTGGCTGTCTTGCAAGAGAAACATACAGGTTGTGGGTAGAATTCTGCATAAATTGATGGGGAAGGGGAGGGCAGGAAGAGGAAGAGAAGGGGTTGTGAGTGGGTGGGTATTGTATACCACAGGTACTTGGGCAAGAGATATTAGAGGAACAGGAATGGACTACCACTAATATATATGTATTTTTTTTGCTAGCTTTACTGCTGTGAATCCCCAAGCTTTCCAGTCTAAGAGTGGTAGGCAGTGTGCTGGAGACCTGTTCTGTAGAGGGGGACAGGAAAGAGGCAGGCAGGAAAGATTTCAGTAGCCTCTCCTGTTTCTTGGGGAAGATTTGTGGTCACCTCAGCGGAAAGAGAGATGGGGCACTTCTGCTTTGCCCTCATTGTGCCAAAAAAGCCCATTGAACTTCCATGTTCTCTAGCAGCTTTGAAAACCCCCTTCGCAAGTCTACCATACGACATCCCTAAACACAACAATGATTATCTGGAAGCTGAAAGCAGCTTAAAAATAAAAACAACTCAAAAGAAAAACAGGAATAGAGTGGAGGAAGGGGACAGAGCCCTTCCCCTGCTGGCCCCTGGTCAGAGGCAAGCAAAACAATACACACAGCCTCTTATTCCACTGCACACCAGTCTGTAGTGTTCACAAGGCAAACATAGCATCATCTTCCTTTGCCTGCTTCCGATGATGGCTGGCGGCAGGAGCGGTGACAGATGTCCCTGCTGAGGAGCTGGACAAAGTGGGTAGCCGGTCCGCAACTTTTGCTCGCTCTTCCAGGAACTTGTCAAACTCTGGAGCAAAGGCAGAGAGAGCATTAGCAAGGAGGGAAGTTTATGGAAGCGCCAAGCTGCTGTCAGGAACAGTTGAAGAAAGGTTTTTGTCTGGGACTCTTACCTTCACTGGTGACTCCTTTTCCATCCTCTGAATCTCCCTGTGGAAGGAGGAGAAAGGCATGGTAAGATGCAGGGTAGACAAAGTCACCTCCACAGGTGTGGTGCTCTGCTTGCACAGAGGAAGACAGGATGGTGCATCTTTCCTTCAGCACTACAGGTCTGTTAAGAGTGGCCTTGAGCCTTGGTTCTTCAGCTATGCCTCCTAAAAGGCTAATTCTCTAGTAGGGTACCTGAAACCCCGGTGTTCTCCTCGTGTTTTCCCTCAGAACAGGTTGTGCCACATGTTCAGAAGTGCTAGGACTATTGTACACTGTCTGAACTCCAAACCTTCAGCAAGAGCCTGGCACCTCTGACAAGGAAGGCAGAGGTCATGAAGGTTTCTGCCAGTCAGATGCCACTATGATGGAAATGGAGACATAGCCTGGGGTCTGGGAGAGAATGTTGCTAATGAGGTTCTGTGTCAAGGATAAGGGAATGTAAGCAGCCCTCGAGTCCTCATGGTTCTTGCCTGATAACTATCAGAGGCCCCCTACAACTATTTGAGACTTGCACACAGATGCTCTGCACCAGATGCAGCTGTGCAGTGGCCATCTTGGTCCTGCCCCTCACTTACCACATCAGTGGAGAGCCACTTCTCTATGTCTTCCATGAAATTGGCTTGAGGGACTGGCACCTGGAACAGAAAAAATGAGAGAGATGAAGTCAAGAAAAGAGAGGATGTTCTTGAAACCCACTCCTGCTAACCCTCTTGTCCCACCATTCAGTAATCTTAGGTGTTTCCAAATCCAGCCAGTGCCACTGCAACTCTCTCCCTGCTACCAATGCCACCATTCACCTTCCTCCATCCCATCCACATGTAGACATGGATGATTTTCAGGACGCGTGCCATCAAAAGCATCTGAGGTCTTAGGACAGACTTTGGGGCATTAGCACTGGACCAGGCTTTACATTTGGGGAAGAAAGCACTAGGTGGAAGTTGGCTGCTCACTGTTAGGCAGCCAGATAACAGGAGACAACTTCCCTTCACACTTCCTGTTCTCCACAGAGCAGTGATAGGCCCAGTAATGGTTCAATGTCAAAGTGGTTTGATGTGCTGCTGTTGCTGCTGCAAAAATAATGTACTAGGTTTGATATGAAATTGAGGGGGAAAGGCACCTGCCTTACCTCCCAGAGCACAGCAGTATCTGACATCACAACAGACTACAGCCACACATACTTCAGAGAGAAAATTCTCAACAATTAAAGTAAATTTGACGACTGGTAGGGAAGAACTCTTTAGGTCCCTGGCTAGTTTATGCAGTAAAGAGACACTTTCTCATGGAGATAAACTTGAAGGCAAACAAGACCAATTCAAACCCCAGATCCTTTTCTCCAGTCACAGGCTTCTGGACAAAGCTGAGCAAGGGCCAGCCCGTCCTAGAGGCTCCACAAGCAGAAGCAGGAAAGTGCAGACTTATTTCTCTGACCCTGAAAAATGTACAGTTCCCTTACTGTAAGGAAAACAGCAATTACAGCAATTTTGTAGTTACAAAAGCAATCTTTTCTTACCAAGAAAAGGCAGATTTTCCCAAAACCATGGAGTAAGTTAGTTACCACGACTAGCAGACCTTACCACAGCAAGACAGTTACCATGGCTGGCACGTGGATGGTTGGTGAGAGAAGATGATGTGTACGATTAAGGAAGTTTCTAAGTAAGTGAAGTGGTTTTGTTTACCCAGAGCGGGACAATTGGGGGTAGAAATGTATCCAAGCCAACTGGACAGCACATGGGGAAACTTTCTAGAGTAGATACCAGCCTGGGCAGTGCCCATTTTAGGAAGAAAAGCTAACAAGCATCTGACATGGGAGTATGTCAAAACTCAGTGTGCCTGAATGGATAAAAATGCAGGATTTCTGATGCCAAATACCAAATTCAACAGCTTGGAGGCTGTCCTACAGAAAGATTTACTTGAGGAAGGACTGATACTCTGCTCGTTTCCTTCCCTGGTCTCCACTACTGGCCCAGAAGAGGGTTGTTTCATTTACAACCTCTCTTGTTGTCTACTGTGCATCCTCATGTGCTGTACCAGTGCCACCTCGGGTCCAGCAGCCCCAGCTCCTTTCACCTTGCTGGCACTGCCATGATCTCACCATTCCTTGTCGCATCATCCAGTTAGTCAGTTGGGCTCCATCACTGGAGACACCAGGTTCCCCCTGGGTGAGAGAAAGTCTGCACTGAAAGCTGCTGTCACACAGGGTGAAGTACAGGGGAGGCAGCGGGTTCAGTGCTCTGGGGGCAGAAAGCACTGCTAGTGATGGCCCACCTCTCTGATTGCCAAGAGGAGATGACGGGACTTGAAAACCTGCTAAATGGAATTAAACATATATTTCCAGGTAAAAGTTTCCCTGCAGATATAAGGAGGCCGTCCTTTTACTGAATGAGTCACTTCCAAACTTCTCATACCTCTGGCAAGGTGGGAAGTTTGCTTTCCCCACCTCCAAAGTTCAAAGAATGCAGTATAGAGTCCAGGTGTTAAAAGCAGGTTAGTTATTGACAGTGTTATCATCACTCATGTTAAACAATTGATCTTTGTTCTAACGGACTGCACATTTATTGCTGGGAAGCAAGAAGTACACTCACTCGTGGTGTGAACCAAAGGATCTGCAGCCACTTACCGCTCCAGTGTTCTGCTGCCGGGCATCCAGGGCGCCAGCTAGTCCTTTGGAGGCTTGAGGATCTTCGTACTTCATCCTGAAAGCATAAAGTTATTTAATGCACAGGCTGGTAAGCAGCCTGAGAATGTAAAGCAGCAACTGCTAGACATATATTCAGGGCTGCTAACTGTATAACCATTCATCTCTTGTTATCTGCATCTAGAAAGGTGTGCAGAACCTCTGCTAAAGATGTCAGCCACAACAGATTAGTGTTAATCTACCTACTGCAAAGTGTCTGAGTTACCACAGGAAAGCCCTTACACATTAGGGGACGATGCTAAAGAATTGTATGAAAATAACCATCCAACAGACTAAGTTACAACCTTAGAGAGCTCGATGCATCAGTTACACACATCTTACCCGGGCTTCACTATAGAAGACAGATTCATAATACTGACTGATGAGAAGATTAGAGCTACTATAGAAAGGATTCTAGCAACAAATACCGCATACTCAGCTGCCTTCACAGGCACAGTCACAGCTCAAAAAGATCTCCTTAACCAATACTGCTCAAAAACTGATGGCTGCAGAGATTCACTGGCCCATCTATAGAAGATGAGAGTCGGTGAACAAAATAACCTGCGGCTTCAGGATCTCCAGACGCACCGTTACAGCAGCCTCTTTCCACACACTGAAACGTCCCACCCATCATCTCCCTTGTCCCATTTCTTTGCCCCCTCTAGGATGCTGCCACACATGCCAAAGCCACACATCACCATCTGATCCATGCAGACTGGGGAGAACAGTCCATCCGTGCTGGAGGAATGAAGCCTCATCCAGAGGCTCTCCGCAAGCCTCCTCTCCAGCTGCTGCCAGGGCCTTCCTCGCAGCTCTAGGGGAGCATCAAATGGAGTCATTCCTTTTGGAGGACATGGGCCTGGGCCACCGACGCTCAAACTTCTCGAAGAAGTGCTCATCAGTGAAGGGGCCGCTGTGGACAATGGCATCGAGGATGAAGTACAAGGCTGCCACCATGCCACTGATGAGGAAGAAGGGCAGGAAAGGCTTGAGGTGTCTCAAGCACTGCTTAACTGTGACACTCATGAAGCATGGGGGCTCAGGAAGAAAGCCCAGCAATCCTGCCTGTGCCTCCTGCCAGCATGTCCTCTCAGGGAGCAGCAGGGGAAGGGCTCTATTTAGGGGGAAGGAGAGGCAGAGGCCGTGGGCTGGTCTATGAAATGGGAAGCCTGAGCCAGTGAGAGCAGAGGCTACCTGGCAGGAGAGCAAGTACAGGCAGATGGTGGGTAGCGAGGAATAAATAGAAGATGTCTCGTTACTGCAAAGATCACAAGTCTCTGTCTGTTAAAGACTGAGTCATGTCGGAGGGGGATATAATTCCAGCCATGCCCAGTTCTCCCTCAGCTCAGATGTCAGCCCCAAATCAGGCACACACCGTTGCCACCAGTGTTTCTGTTCCACACAGACTGTCCCTGTTCCCAGGGTCTCCAGCACAACCCACTCTGTACCAGGAGCTCTCTCCAGGCAGTACCCCTGTGTACCCTGACTCACTCTCTGAGCAAGAATTTATAGCCCTGACTTAAGTGGTTTAGTGGCAGCCATGTCCAGTCAACTGGCTGGCACTAGCTGAGCCCAGAACAGCAGCTTCTGTGTGTAAGCACAAAGCACTCTCTGACACCTCTAACATGCTCCTACAGCAGTAGTGTCATGGCCCAAGGAGAGCTGTAGCTTGGTGACAGCACAGAGGACAGAGCCAGTGGGATAGAACCAGAATTCCTCCCTTATAAAAGCTGATCACGCTCATGAAGACCCAGCAGTTGGCTTGGGAAGCTCAGTGCTTGGACAATATTGAGAGGAATAAAACAGGCTGTAGGTTGACTATCGATCTTCCTGCCACTTGTACTAGAAGCAGTCTGAGGCAGGGGAATGAAAGAAGACATCCTTAAGAGACCTTAGCTTGCCACTGCCCAGCTGTGAGACAAGACAACCTCCTGGAGTGAGATCAGGAGCAAAGGACTTTGAGGGCTGAAGGCAGCTGGGTGCCTACAACAGATTATACACTTCTGTCTTCAATATTCGATACTTTAGGCTGTATGTGTATTCATGAGTTCCCAAATTCAACATCATCCTATTGAGGATACAGAGCAACTCAAGAGTTCAGGATCAGACAGTAAAACTTACTTAGTCCCAATCTACACCTTCATCTCCCCACGTTGAGCCTCCAGCAGACGTGGTACTACAGCCCCCTGACACACCAGTGAGAGACATGAACCAAAATGCACTTCCTTCTCCTCAAAGCCAGGACGTCATTGGGAAAGGGAGCTAACTGATGGCAGCAGGAAGAACGACTGGAACAGAGCTGCCAGCCGCTATGGAGGTCGAACACCGCGCACTGGAAGGATGAACCTCTGTGGCGTTCTGCTGCCTCCTGGGAACTGCTGCTGGTTGGGGTCAGAGTCCCTGTTCCCCCTTGTGCAGCAGGGCACCCCCCTCGCCCTCCCCGTTATGAGAAAGCAGGGCAGCAGGGGCTGCCACACTCACTCTTTGCGCTGCTCGGCCAGGGAGCTGCCCCGAGTCAGGGCAAACATGTCAAACTCTTCTTCCGTCTTGCCAGAGGTGTCGAGGGAGTGCAGCCCTGCACTCACACTGCTCGAGCCCAGGTCTGCAGGGGAAAGAGCAAGCAGGCAGCACAAAAGCAAATGGAAGGCCAAGGGCTTGGAGGTGCTGAGTAAAAAGCGAATATCAGAAGAGCCCAAACTGTCCTGGGCCCACTCATCTGTCCTTCCCCTGGGCAGCAGCGCTACATATGTGTTTGTTCAGCATTGGGGGGTAAGTGGCAGAATCAGTTTGTTTGCCTGCTCAGCGCGTATTTTTTAGCTCTATCTCTGGCAGCAACAGCATCAGTTTACTGCATTGATTCTGAAGGCCAGATGTTCCTGACCATGTAAGATAACAAAGAGGGAACTAACTTCATAACCTGTGGAAGAAGCTAACCTGTACTTCTGACAATCAGCTCCAAGACAGATGCATGAATTTTCACAACTCAGGTGTTATCTGAAAGTGCTTGTTGCCAACAAGAGCTTCAGGCAATGACATGTGGGGCTGGTGCTATGTCCTGAAGACACCCCAGGACAGGCTGCTTTCTTGGTAGACACCCTGTCAAGTCTTGGGTCCTGAAAACAAGATACTGTCTTTGCAGCACAGCAGAGCTGAGCAGCTCTTCCTCTTCCAGATCTCAGCAATTAACCTCACACCACAGAGTGAGAAGCAGCAAATGCTGTGGATCAGAGGGAGAGCAACCATCACCCCTGCCTTGCTGGAAAGCCCAGCCCCTAGCCACAGCCTAGTGCTGGTGTCCCTCTATGTCTCACATAAGCTGAAGTGAGGATGCTGAGGCACGTGCCTGTGTCCCTAGGCACGTAAACAGGTTTCTTTCTTTGAAAATTACTAGCTGATAATACACCCTATCTCTCTAGATTATTTTATAAAGATGGCTAAAATTTTCTGGGACGGAATTCAAAAACATTAAAGGATTCTTGGGACAGAAGGAGGAGTGAGGGGAACTATGTATGGCAACATACTCATTCCAGCCAGCTGAGAAGAGAGATTGTTGGTGGCTTCAGGTTGTCTCCCTGCAGAAGGAGCACTGGGTCCCAGATCAATCAAGCTGTTCTCTGCCTCATTTGTCATCTTTGGAGGAAAAAGGGAAGTCAGTGAAGATTTTTTGAAGCCCACACAGCTTACATTTCTCAATCCCAATTTGTTAACACTAGGAAGCTGTTTTATACCCGCCAAGAGATAATGGCTGGGGAGCCTCTCTGAGCAAGAAGTGGGGCAGTAATCAGAGTACTGGCTGAGAACAGTGTCCCAGGGCAGAGCAAGCCCTGGTAGTCAGCGTTCCACTCTGCTGGATGCCAGCAGGTCAGCTGATGGCTCAGAGCACAGGGCAGTGCTGACACAGGGAGGTTACAGCTTGAAGTGGGGCAGAGCAAACCTCTCTGTAACTCAGCAGGACATAGCAGGACCTGCAGGAAGCAAACCAGTGTGCACAGAGGGGAAGTAGCTCTGAGTCACCTTAACAGGCTGTCCAGTCCGAAGACGCTCAAACCTGCAAGAAAGATGAAAGAAGCAATTCCAGTAATGTGAGTTTTCCAAGTACTTATACATCCTCAGTCCTCAGAGGTTCCTCACTCAGGCTTGGCATAACCTGCCCCTTCCTACATAATAGCAAATAGGGACCATGGTTCAGGGCCCAATTCCCCTCCAAGACAGGAGACACCACAGCAGGAGCCAAAAAGCCACAAAATGTCTCCCAGAGGTGTGGCAGGGCAAAGCTACTTGTTATCCTCCAGTACTACCCCTAACCAGAGTGGTTCAAACCCAGCTCTCCTTCAGACAAACACAAGGGACTAAATTCTCCTGACTTCATCCCAGCATAAGAGATGAATTTGGCAAAATGAAGAAAAAAAAAGGGGGGGGGTCTCTTGTTCTTGGACAAATTCTCCCTGTTCTTGTCGGCCTCAGAACTAGAGAAATAGCTCTTTCCATGCTCCTCCTGGGTTGGGCCAGACATGTCTATATTGCTAGTGGCTTTGAAGGAACAAGAAAAAAACAGCAAGAGCTGAGGAACGGACCCATTCTCAAAGGTGGACGATACAGACTGATACACATTGAATATAACATTCATGGTTAAAAGAAAAGGCTGAGATAGGAGGCCCCTCAAGGGAAGAAACTCCCATGGAGGAGCAGAGAAGAGAAGGGAGGAGACAAGTACCTTTCGTGGCGCAGAAACACGTTGTTGAGGTTGTCATTGATGAGGAGTAGCTCCTCGGTGAGCTGCTCATGGAGGATACGGGGGATCAGCTCCAGCACACGCTGCTGCATCGCTCTGCATGTCCGATTCAGCTCCTGCTCACAGCAAGAGGAGGTTACCACAAAGGTCAGACCAAGGTTGAGCATTCACAGATTTGGAAGCCTGAATGGGACAGTCAGAGGCTACTGTGATATACCAGCAAGGATTTAGGGCAAACGGATATTGGTATGAGAAGCTCTTCCAATGCAGGTAAACTGAGCCTGAGTTTTGCAGTTCCTGCTTTGCTCTGTTCCTGCAGTGAACATGTTCTTCCAGTGGAACATCATATAGGAGGAAAGACCCTCAAGAATGATGCAACACCCTCCATGTGAAATGATTCTAGCCTCAATAATGCAACTTACTTGGCCAACGAAACTCTACCTTCTATTTGTCCCCCTTATGCTGTCACTCCCTGATAAGCCCCACACTAAGCTGTCTAGGACAACAGTTCCCCATGCCTGGCATACATAACACCTTGCTGAGTCACTGCTAAACAAAGCTCCATTTGCCAGCCCTCTGTCCCCACCAGCAGCTGCCTCGTGCTCCTTACTTGCAGCAATTCCAGGTCGGACGTCTCGGCCTGCGCTGGCACCAACTCTGTCAACATCTCCGACATCACCTTCATGTTCCCGTTCACCACTTCCAGCTCACTGCGCAGCTTCCCGACCTACAAAAGGGAATGGAAGTCACTGCCCAGCTGGGACAACTGAGGAGATTGCGGAGCCACTTCTGAATGGCAGTGCACAGTGTGTGTATACCCATACAGCCTGAGGGGAAGGCCATTGCAGAACTCATTTATCACTGCTCTCTTGGGCTCTCAGGAGCATCCAGCAGAAGGAAGGCCATCAAAGTACCACCAAATTCCTTTGCTGGTAGCAGATGCCAGGCCCTCACCTGAGACCTTTGTCCCTTAGGCCTAACCTTGATTTTTAACAGCTACCATAGGGCTGTGGTTATAATTCAAGTCTCTCTCTCCCCTGCCAGCTGCTCCTGTGTGGCAGCTACTCAAATCATCTTGTTTCCAAAGCGGCATAAAAAGGAAAAAAAATATATATATTCAAAAGGTGAGTTTGGGCTAAATGTGCAGTGGAAACATTTTTCCTCTGGTTTCAGAGGCTGCTAATTAGCCTCTTGCTAGCCTTGTTTTTGCAAAAGGATGCAGCCTAACAAAGTCTGGTGCTTTGGTGCTGTAACATACAGAGTCAGGATGATGATGAAGTAAAAAAGAATGGGAAAATAAGTGAGAAAGCATCGGTCATAGCCAGATAGGGATTATTTATATAAAATCACCAGTGAGACAAGACAAATATAACAAAGAAGCATTTACTAAGCAAGTTTTTGCTGCCTTGCACTATGAAGACCTCCCTCAAAATGCATCTGTTCCTCACTTTCCTATCATCAGGGGATTCTCCCTGGAGTTCTGCTTTAAGAAGATGTAATCACCCTGGGCTCATGGCATCCCAGCTAATCACCATGATTGCGATGGAGCTCTCGGGAGCCCTCAAAGTAATGGTGCTTTCGGAGGAGCAGTTTCTCGAGCCAAAATACTGGGGGAAGACCAGGACAGCAGTTCCAGAGCAGCACTTGCAAAACAGCCCCCAAACATAGGGGCAGCCTGAAGCACTTCAGAGCCCACATTCCACTCACCTGCTCTGGTGTGGGTGTGATGAGCACATTGCTGGAAGTGCCAGTCCCCATGGGCAGCGTGACAGGATGCAGGATGGACTCTATCCGCTGAGCAGAGCTGACGGCAGGCAAGGTCTGCCCAGACTGTGAGTCAGTGCTATACACAGTCTAGAGGCAGAGGAGGAAACAGTCAACATGATAGGGAAGGGGAGGTATTAGACACAACTAACAAGGCAAAACAATTAGGAGAGCAATGTTGGTGCCAAGTCCTCATCTGCTTCCAGTAGGTCTTCTACCTCCATTGCCTTACCCTCCCACGAAGCTCCTGCCCCACACCTGCAGCCCCTTTGGTCACCTCCTGAAGAGGCTGGCCTAGAGCCTCTCACTCCCCAAAAGCCCTGTAACTGCTGGCTGCAGTTGCAGGAGTCCCCTCATAGCTCCAGAATGGCAGCAGTGCAACTCCCTTCTCAGAGATGCGTTCCTACCCTCTGTGGTGTGTGGATGGGTGACAGCATGTCCAGGTCAGTCATGGGGAACTCCAGACCTTTCCGCCTCAGGTCTTCATAGACAGTGACAACACCTGTCAAGTCCGGGGAGCTCCGGAAGGCATCTGCCCAGGACTGGGGAGAAGGAGACAGTGTAACCCAGCACCACTTAACGTACTCTTCTATATAAACACTTAAAAACATAGCGTGCTTTGATCTGGTGCACAGGCCCACTCTTCTTGGCTCACCTGGATGAGCGTCAGCACCTTGTCATGCACAATGGCAGGAGGATTGTTCTTGGGCAGGATTGTTCTCACCAGGACACCTTCTACAAAGTCCTGGCTGGCCACAAGGACATGGAAGCGATGGCCGCAGTTTTTAACACATGTCTCCAGGACCTGCAAAGGCAAAGAAGCACTAGCTACAGCCTTCTCTGACTACATGGTAGCCTTGCTGTCTTCAGACACCTGTGTCTTTGCAACCGGAGATTCAGCTTTGCAGAAGGGTACAGAGCAGCTGAGAGTCATGATCACTCACCGTTAAAGCCAACATAACTTCATGAAAGTTCTTATTCCCTACAATTCTCTTCTTTATGGCTCTGAAAGCATCTTTGGGCCTGCAAAAGAAATCAGGTGAAGAAAGATCAGCAGCAGGTCAAGCCCAGCCTCTAGAAGTACAAAGCAAAATGGCCACTGGCACCCAGAGCCTCATACTCAGCAGGTTACCTCCCACTATGTTTTCAGGATGGCTTGAACCAGTGACTGTTAAAGCAGCTGCTGACAGTGGCTTTGCAAGAGAAGTGGTGTTCTGTCTGTGAGGGCTGTTGCCAAAATTTAATGCCTCTGCTAATGGAAGCAACAATCAAAGGCACAAGATGAGACAGAAAACAGTAACAGAAACACCAGGAGAGACAGAACTACAATCCTTGTGCTGCTCAGAGGGAACCTGTTGGACAAAACTCTCAGGGAAGAAAGGAGGCTGAAGAGAAGCAGGGAAGATGCACTGGCAAAATGATGCACTGGCAAAATCCTGCCCATCCTGCAGGTGGACAAGAAAGCAGCAGCACTGCAGGAGCTGCTCAATCGTTCTCCGAGGGGAAAAGCACTGTGGTTTCATCCCACTGCAGTGTTGTGAGTGGCAGCAATGAAATGTACTCTGTTAGAGCAAAGAAGGAGAAGCAGCACTGGAGGAGCAGCAATGCTGGAGGGTAAGAGATTGAAAGACACAGCTAATGAGGAGGGTGGGAGTGCATCAAGCCATGGGGGTGCATGGCTGTACAGTTAGCAGGGCAAAGGGAGAGCTCTCTCCACGCCCAGAGTGGCAGGGGATGGGACACGACTGGGGTGCAACTGTGTTATCAGGAACCCTGCACTGAAACACTAAGTGGCCACAGCTTGAGAGCTGGGGGCAGAGATGGGTATAAACTACCCCATGGGGGCCAGAGGAAGGTGGTCAGTATGTAGAGATGTTTGGCTTGGTGTACACACAATGGTGAGACTGGAGATAGGCTGCTTGCTAATCTCCCATAAGCCTCACTGCAAGGTGGGACAGAAAAAGGAGTGAAACCTACATTTTTTATTCCATGTAGCATGGAATAAAAGGGTAGTATTTCATTTTATATGCTGCTCTTGACACCTTCGCTGTGAGAAGGAGCAGTCCCCTCTGAATTTGCTGGCAAATCCCCAGGTCCAGTTAACATGCCTGACAGATATCTGAATACCTTCCCTTGGGGAAAGGGAGGCAAAGGCTCTCCTCTCCACTTTGCACATGTTTGAGTGACTGTGTATGAAAATGCTTGAGAGCAGAGCACCAGCAGGTGCCCAGTCACAGAACTGATTAGCAGCCTGAGATTTTCCGCTCTCCTCATTCACCAACCTTGGAGATTTTTACATTCCCAGAGGACAGAGAGAGGACTACAGAGGAGGAATAAACCAAAGTGCAGAATTTCAAATATGCCTTTGGGAGATGAGAGGCAAATTTCCTTGACTCGAGGTTTCTCTGGGGACCCTAAGGGCCTGTTTAAATGCTTCTCTGTACTTAACAGGTTTATAGGGAAACATCTAACAGATGCTCTGGCAGCTTTAGCGAGACTCTAGGTTTCCCAGCAGAGTCATGTTAAGGGACTGTGGGGTAACCTGGCTTATTGCCTTCACTAACGCACGGCACCACTGAAGTGTAGGGGTGTCTTGTTACAGAGTGTGCACTGGGACCCACTCTAGGAGGAATACTCATGTCAGCTCCCTTACCCTTCTTCGGTCTCATTAATGATATCGCAGATTTCCATGTTGAGAGCCCAGTCCTCACTCCGCAGGGCTCCATCCGTAGCTCTCTCTGCAAAACAAGAAACCAAGGCAGGAGAAGCCTAAGAGCTCTCTCACTGATGGCTGTTCAGCTGTCAGGACACTGCAGAAGCCGATGTCAGTCTCCACAGCTTCCACTGACACTACAAAAGCCATGAATCCGGCCGCAGTGTGCGGGCCACGCAGGGCGGCCCGTTGGGTGTCCCCGGCGCAAGACACGCGGCTCCGCGTGCGCTCCGCGTTCCCGGCAGCAGGAAAGCTGCGAACACGGACGTGCCACAGACACCCACCCCGCACGTCCCTGGGGTCCTTCGCGGAAAGGGAAAGTCCCTGGCAGAAACAAGGAACTCCAGCTGCACCCCGGGAGGGAAGGCGGTTTGTTTGCTTCCCTGCGGCAGGGCCGGCACAGGAAACATGAGTGTGCTCTGCTCTCAGCACCTCAGATCTACTGCTAATAGCACGGCTCTTGATTTGCACCAAATTAAGGAAACAAAAGAATCAACCCCCTTCTTTTTCTGTATTTCTCACAAAACAACCAACCAACCAAAGCAGTACTTTCTTTTGTTGAACATTTACGTTCCTTCCCTGAACTTCTGGCCTGTGGGGAGCAGGGGCGTAAGTGGACTGCCGGCCCAAGTCCAAGCAGTGTCACTTCAGCCTCGACCGCGTCCCCTTTAATTAGGGATTCCTGAACTGGCGTTGAAGTTATTCATGGCAGAGATTCATGCAACAAACAGCTATTACTGCAAGCACCCAGGTCCCCACCCTGTAATCAGCCGTGCTCAGTCCCAGCTGGGCCGGCTGAGCCTCTGGGGACAGCACTGGGAAAGAGAAAGACCATAAGGGCAGGCAGGACCCAGGCACTCTCCAGACTACAGAGATGCACTGGGATAAAGCAGGTGGCAAGCAGGAGAGAACCCTCTTTTTTAGCTTTCCCGTCTTCTAAAATGCCAACGTGGCTGTCATGCAAGAGAAGCAGGACCAGACACACCATTCCAGCACCTACACAGTGCTCCTCAGGAGGCTTCAGACAAGTTAGGCACTTAAGGGCCTGCAGTTCAAAACTGCTCTCCCTGCAAAATCTGGAGCAGGCCCTTGATGCTGTGGGTCCTCTGCGCCGTTGCAGGCACCCTCCTCTGCAGAACTGCTTTCTCCTATTTTTGAGCAAACGGTTCTATGTATGGAATGAAAGGAAAGGGCCGTTCATGCAGTGGTATTGGGATAGAGGCCATGGCATGGGAAAAATATTTTTAACTTCTGCCTGGGTAAACACATCCGTCATGTTTTGGGTTGTGCTGCTTTTAAGCAGCAGGCAGAGCGCTCTGCAATACAGCCACGCTGCCTTCCTCTCTTAAACGTGTCTCTCCCACAAATTACACATATCACAGTGTAAGGCTACCTATACCAACCTTATCAAAAACTGGCCAACACCTTTTCTGCTGGCTACAGGATAAAATGAATACATTGTGATTACACTGATTATATTGTGGTGGCTACAATCAGAGGGAGGAGGGCAAGCACGGGAAGGAGAGTGGCAGAGAAATCTTGAAGTTTTTCCACGTATTTGAATGCCTGGTGACTATTTCTACCCTGGTATAATATCCTGAAGGCCTCTTTGGGCAGGTGGTGGCTTTTTCACTTCGGCAATTAATTTTAAATAGGAATCCCAGTCTCTGCAAATGTAGGCTTCCTCACTGAGACATGTGAGATAGCGTTACACTGGGTGATGTGGTAGGGAGTATCTAGGGCTGTGGATTATATTGGAGCATGTCTGGTGCATATGCAAATGAATGGGTGAAGTTTTGGTAATATTCCTGGCAAAAATCATTTCTGTGAGGGCTCCTTTGGGGTCAGGACTTGGTACAGGAGCAAAGCTCCAGGTTCTCTCCTGTTCTACGATGCCACACACGCGACCTCGCCAGGCGGGTCAGCTTGGCCTGATAAATGTGGGAATGATGGTCCCAAAGGTGCTCTTCACTTGTGCTCTCCTCCAGAAGGCTCAGGAGCTGCTCTGTACACATCTGACTTTAAACCCCAGTCTAGCTACATGTTTCCCCATGCTGCTTGTTAATACTGGCAATGAAAGACAAATCAGTCATAGAGGAGTTTGCCCTATTAAAAGGGGAAGTCCCTCGAATCTGCATCCACCCACCTCACTACTGAAGAAACACATTGCACATGGAAGAAAAATAAAACCAAAAAAACCCACAGCTTGGGAACAGATGCAAAAGCTGAGAAACTCTGAACTACAGGAAAAAAAAAAGGAAGATGAAATGAAAATTGTTTCTAACCATGAAGTCTTTGTCATTCAAAATATTCTCCAAATGCTCTTGGAGCTCATTTTCACTGTGCACAGATGTGAAAAAAGCCTGCAAAGAGCCACCTCTTACCTTCCTGTATTTGGTGTCATTCTCTAACCTGTCCTCCCCTCGCTCTTCTCCTCCTCCAAGTGCATTAGCCCTATCAAGGTCAAGCAGCAAGTTTGCTTCTCAGAAAGCAATGTAAACTGTGCGCACTCTGTCACCTGGCTGACCACTTACAGGAAAATAAGGATTCCTCACAAGTGACACATACAGCCCCAGTAGTTACCTTACAGGGAAATTAAAGATGCTGCTGCTGTTGCCTCCTCTCTGATGCTGGTCAATGAAAAGCTGCAGAAAAGCAGTAAATCTGCCATAAATGCAACACTCAACAACAAAAAACAAAATGGGAAGGCCAGAATTAGGGCATATGGAAAACAGGAATGTGACCTCCAAGGACAAAAGCACTTGAATCTACCCAGCACCGATTAGCCATGGAACTAATGCCCTTTTAATCCTCCTGGCTTCCAGGCACTAAGGGACTATCCAAACTGAGTACGTTGGAGTTTTCTCTGAAAATCCTGCTTTACCCTTTAGCAAAGCCTGCAGCAGCAAAGGAAACAAAGTTTATTCATTAGTCACACGAAGGATCAAGATGGCTAGTCCTGTTCCACAAGCTGCAATCAGTACGGGAGCTGGCTGCCTCTCATGAAATCTGAGCCCACGATCATTGGAAACAGCGACAGGTTCCTAAAAGCAGCAGGCACAGGAGGCCAAGCCCGGCTGCCAGCCCAGGGCTCTGCCTGGCAGGACTTATCAGGGAGTTTCTGCTCGGGAGCTGATCCTGACCTGCCCCAGAAAACCCCATGCGGCAGGGGTTATCACGAGCCATAAGTGCCGTTTTCTTCAAAGCCCGGAACCGACCGGCTGCTGAACATGCAGAATTAAAGTGCCCTTCACGGGGCTGCTTCAAAGCCACGTAGTTTTGGCAGCCAGTCCAGCCTGTCGGGTGTGACAGCCCTGGGGTTTGTCCGATTCCAGGGTGATGCCTCACAAACTGCTCGGATCACCCCAGAGCCTCCGAGGTCTGAAAGAGGGCCCAAACTTGCACCATTTAACTTCTTCCTTCCTGGCATTTGAGCAGTCCTGCTTACTGTAATCAGGTTATGAAAAACTCTGCAGTCTTAAGATAAGGAGCAATTCTGAACATGGCATCAGTAATAAAATGGGGCTGCACATTCTGTGCCCATTCTTGTCTGTGCCAAGACCAAATTTGACTCAATGACTTTGTTTCTTTTCAGGTTTATTGTCTTTTTCCTTATGGCAGAGGAGGGTCCATTGCTGGACTTGAAATCGGCCCATTCCTGCAGGAGCAAACTGTCAACACAGGCAGTAGCGCAGAGAAATACTGGAGTTATGGATAGAGGAGAGTAAATGGGCTCCAACACCTTTGTTTTCGCTCCAAGACCTGAAGCATCCAGAACCACTCAGGCAGCTTTCAGGAGCTCTTCACAGTTGAAATGCTCTCCTGTAGCTCATCAGAAATGACCCTGAGCAAGGCCCTTGGCCAGCATTCCCTGCAGAACTCAGTCTCACTAGTTTCAAATTCCTCACCAAAACACCAAACACTTTCCCATCTATTTGAACAGCAGTTTGAAGGTATCAGCATTTCCTTGGGCATGACAGTGTAAGCCCAGCAGAAAGCAACACCAGAATCCCTTCCCCGGCCTGCTTACAATTCACAGTGTCTCTGACCCAAATAATCTCCCTGTACAAAGTCTCCTTGCGAAGACTCAGGCTTTCTCTTCCCCCAAGGACATTTTAGTACAAATTCAGGCCTCCAACCCCTTAACCCTGCTGTTTTCCTCCTTCAAAGACACTGTGTGACAACTTTGTAAAGATAAACTTTCAAACCTCATTCAAGGATGATGATGGACACAGACTTGAACGGACACACGACTGTGGCTATTTGAGTCTCTGAGTTTCTCCTCCTACTCTCTTCCTGTGAACCAACTCGGACTCCCAGGGATCAAAACTCTTCACAGAGCCTCCTTTTCTCTCCTCTTTTTTTTTTTTTTTCCTCTCTACTTCATCTTTACTTTTCTCCCCTATCTGTCCTCACCCAGTGGAATAACAATCTTTACCCCTTAGGTATTGCTATGATTACTAGCTCTTCCAAACTCTAAGCTTCAAGAAAGGGGGCATTTGCAATGTCTTCTCCATTTTCATCCTCTACAGTTACCTTGTTACTACTAGAGAGCCTCCCTGGCATAGGGTTTTCTGTTTTAGGGTTTCTCACAGCTCCTAGGTGGGGATTACCCTTTTGTGTGGCGGGCCCGCACAATGATGCTTCAGCAATCTTTCGAAAGTCCTCTACTAGTCAAAAGTGCTGCATTAAAAAAAAAAATTAAAAGTCTATGTTTCTCTTATTTAAGAAGAAATATCAAGCTAAAAGCAGAACCGAAGAAACTTCTGTGAACAGATTCCAGAATGGGGAATAAGAAGCTGGAAAACCTACTCCTCTGCAATTTTCAACCAGCTAATTCTGGGACAAATCACCGAGTTTATCTGAGCACCAGTTTCCATGTCAGCAAAATAAAGGAGACTTACTAGATTAACATTAAGGAAGCCATTGGAGAACATCACTGGAGTGTGGCACAAAAGATTTTTTCATTCCACTGCCCTTATCTAAAGCTGTTTTAGACCTTATAAGCTGTATCAGGCATGCACAGCTTGGCTGAAGTAGTTCACAATGGTGCAGTATCAGCCTTCTGTAGACAGCCCAAAGCAACAGCATTATGCAGGTCTGGTGACTGGGCTGCTATAAGCAGCTACCACTGACCTGCCAAACAGCTCAGGGTAAGTCATGTTTGCTTCCCACATCAAGTAATGAAGACAGCATTTATCCATGTCCCCAGGATGTTGTTAGGCAGTGATCAAAAAGAGAAAAACATTCATATTTACAGCCACCAAGCCTTTTAAGTCCTCTGCACCTCAGTTTCTTTCTCAGGCATTGCAAGTCCTCCACCACTTTGGACTCCCATAACCTCAACCATTAAGATCTCCCTCCTATCACATTTCTGGTACTGCAGACTCTAAATTCCTGTCTGACAACACTTTTGAAATACTTATTTCTTCTTCACTGCTGGTTTGTTACTTGAAAGCCCCTTCTTCAAGAGAAGAAAAAAGCCCAGAGGGGAACCACAATCCAGATACTCTACTGATCAAAAGATCTGGAGGGCAAGAAGTAATCTGTAACATCGCAAGATTACTTCATTTTGCCTCAACCCAAATGCAAAAATCATATCCAATACATTCACTTTGCGAATTAAAGAACATTCACCTTAAAAAGGACAGAATGTTCTTCCTGAAAAGCATGATGCAACATTTGACAGCTGCCTGGGGGACATGGAAGATTATCTGGAACATCTCATTACTTAGAAACCTCCCTGGTATCTTTGACTAAAATGATCCTCCCAGGGCCTTGCTGCAGTGCATCTCACCTTTGTTTTTCAACTCTCTGAAGTATTTCAAATCGCAGTGCCCTATCTATATTTTTGGAGAACTGCTTTGGGCAGCAAGAGCTTCCAAAATATGAAGGATTTACAAACGCATTACCCACAGTAGCTGCTTGCTCCCTTCTGTGTCTGCCATGATGCAATCAGTACACTACACATGCAGTCCCCACAGGCAGGCACTTTGAAAACTACTCATTTAGAAACCAGATCTTCTGAGTGAAGAACACAGGTACTAGTGATACCACTGATAAAATATGAGAGTGAGGAAACGTATAAAAATGCAAATGGCCATTCTCTATCACAAGCGCTGGAAAGATTAAACATGTGGCATCAACCGCCTTACTTCAAACACAACCAGAAGGCACTTGATGATACAACAGGAGAAGAATCATTGTAAGAGCTCTCTCTCTGCTTTGAAGTTTAAGAAAATTGTTTCTTCTCTAACTGCAGCATCTTTTTGCATCACTTTAGTTAGTTAGTTCCCTCTTTTGTTCCCTGTGCCCACTTAATTCTTCAGGGAATAGGAGCTTAAAAAAAAAAAAAAAAGACTTGCTGTCCATTGGCCTGAAAGGTCGCTGAGCAAGCCCCATATCCCTGCTGTTGTTTTCCTTTCCCGTGCTGATGTTAAGCTCAGCCCTACAGAACAGGGAAGGTGCTTCCCTCTTTGTGAAACTGGGGTGTGGGCCCCTGCTCATTGCAGACATCCAGGCTGCGAGGCCCAGCAGTGGGCAGCATCCCTGCAGCGCCACCAGACACCCTCATCCTCCACGGCACAGGGAACACAGAAGCCCTGGGAGAAGCCCCCAGACCAGAGAGGTCCCTCTCCGATGGGGCCCTCAAGGCCCCATCATGGCCACCAGGGAGGCTCCCCTCTCCTGGAGGGCCGCTGGCTCTTCCCGCCTAGGAAGCTGATAGGCCCCCGCGCCCGAGGCGCAGCCAATCAGCGCCCCCGACGTGCCTCCCCTGAAGGTGCCCGCTGCCACCACGAGGCCCCCAGCAGGTGCCGGCGGGGAAGCTCCCGAGCCA